ATTGGAGGCGCGCTACAAACGCAGCGTCATTAGGCTTTTTAAACTACATCCATTATTAAGAATCATTTTATTGTCTGAGAAACGACTTATTTTGCACTCGTCTGGCCTTTAACTGAACTCAACAAATAATAGAACAACGTATCGTCAAGGAAATCTCGTTCGTGGAGACGATAGAAGTGCGATCTCGTCGAGATTCTCTCGCTCGTGGAGACGGCGCCTAAATGTCCTTTATGAAGTACTTGATTACATCAAGATTATTTCATTATTATAATTCTAATGGTGTCTACTTATTTATATATTTCCATTTATCTATCAGAGCCGAAGGAAGCATTTGAAACGAATTTTCTTTATATCTTGGAAAATAACTTCATACGAAGAATCAAAATTGCGTTCAATTCTGATAGATTCAAGTGGAAAACTTGTGTTGCATTATGGAGAGTTTTATAAACGACCCATATATCGCCTGTTAACTGCGAATTGTTGGTGAAAAATTAGGTGAAAACTTTGTGCTTTTTCTATCACATTGAATAAACGCTATGTTCACCGATGTCAAAATAATATGAGCAACTATAAAACTACAGCAGACAATAATATTCAACAGCTGAAACTTATTCTTCAACACATTCCATTTATTTGATTTTGGCAGTAAGCAGATGATATGCTGCAAAAATAATCACTATAGGGACAAACAAAACTAAGTCACTACAATTTACAATATAATTAAGATAACTACTTTATTTATTGAAATATGCCGTGAGTTTTTAATTGCTAGAGAAAATTTATTATAGCAGTACAAGCATAGTTTTTACCTAACTATTGTTTTATGTAATGATATTACAATAAAAAAAAGGTTTTAAATTATTAGTACTGACATTAAGCCAGTCATAAGATGTCAATGGATGTCAAGAATAGGACATTATACTCAACTAAATAATACGCGTGAGCGTGACTGTTTATTTTAATTTAAAAAAAGCCATAAAACATTTTTGTTTTCATAAACATGTTTTCTTGCTTTAAAATGAAATGGAAGTTTAAACTTTTTTTATACTTGCGAAAACGCTGTCTGTCATATTCATGACGTCATTGTGATATGTACCAGGGTTGTGGCTGATGCTACTAGACCGATTTTAAGTCTCACCTACGGGAAGCTACAACATACGTGGGTGACATAACCTATTATTGACTACTTGATAGTTATAAATATGTAAGAAATGGTAACTACCGTATAAACAATATTTATGTGGTATTTTTGTTTTTAATTGTAAGAATATTATTTAACCAAATACAACTCACGATTACGAGTGTATTACAAGAACATCACACTTTAATAAACTAAACGTAGGTTAACGTCTTTGTGGCGAGTCCAACGAACTCATATTTATTGAAATTGGAAATATCACGTGACTGATTTTTTACGCGGGACAATTTGAATTAATTAATAAAAAGAGTTTTATTTTTTCTTTATTTAATTGCACTTTGAAGAAAAATAATATGATAGTGGATGTGAAAGATTGAAAACACTATTTCTAAACATTAATAAAACTATACTAACCACCAATCAGCATAGGGCGCGCGTGGTGGGCAATGACCCTTTCACCCTATTCGATTCGATTCTTATCCACAGGAAAGGCATGAGCCCCAACAGTGAGGGCATTAATAGGCTGGTGATGATAATGAATACAATTAAAGTAACCAATTATCGTAGGCGGTCTCTGGAGAACAGCTAGTATTTAACAATAGGGATGATATCTGAGTACAATAAAAGAAATTCTAATTAATCCATCAGTCAGTTAATAGAAAAATATTTTGGCTTCAATTTTACAAAAAATACTTAGATAATGGGCATTAAAGTTGAGGAGTGTGGACTCGCTACGTCACAACTATGTGGAAAATGTGCAAAGGTAAAGATGACATCGCGCGACATTTTAAGCCTATGTATCGACGTAATTTAATGATTACGCAAAAAATACTTGTTTGATATTCTTCAATAATCAACCTGATGGTCCGTAAAACAAATATTAATCATCAACCCCATTGATAATAACAGGCTCAAGCAAATTAGATTGAAAAAACAAGCTAATGACCGAGCTTGTGGCAGTTAGTTTTTTAAACATTCTCCACGTGAGTTGTGCACGTTCTTCCCATCAACGATACCGTTATGACTTGAATGTCCGCATTAAAATCGGCTCTTAGAAATTAAATTATTAGCAACAACGCTGATATGTTAAAAAAACCGATGCAAAGATTAAAATATGTCAATAAAACAAGAACAATGACACAGACAAAACAACGCCCTCAGTCAACGCTGCCAACGCTTTTGCCAGACTGCGCTCAGGTGCGCTAATTACCTTAGTTTTATGGTGCCTCATTTCGAACGCAAGTAAAGTAGCTTTTTTATTGTAATATCATTGGTTTTATGCCACTTAAATTGATAAGCGCAAGAATCATTCAAGTAGCCCTCCCCCCTAGTGAGGGTCATTTGAAAAAAGGAATTATTAAAGTTTGATAACTGTGTGAAATCTGTGGTAACCTGACGTACAGCCATGTGCATATTGAGGACTTTCATTTTTATTTTTATTTGATGATAAATTTTCTCTAGAAATTATTAATATCGGCGTGGATATAATAATGTAAAAGTTAATTACATTTCTATAATAATATTATATTAGATTCATAATTTTACATTGTACGTATGCAAGCACTCGCTACTATCTAGACTACAGGATTCATAAATATTGCTTTTGGTAAAAATTAAACAATATTAAAAACTATGTTCTACAGAATCTAAAATTCTGAAGAAATAGTTTATGATACTTTTCTCTCCCATTTTTCAATTGCTTTGTGTAACGTTTAAAGGCACATGTGACGCCCGTATCGCAGCTATACGAATGGCCATCGGTCGTGAAGAGAATGTTTTGAAAACGGGGAAATTATATACACAAGTATATTTCTTAAGATATTCCAAGAATTATTTGACTTTGTATATATATACAAATCAAATGCCGGTTTTGTATAAGATACATATTATTTTATCAGTTTTATTTTTAATATTCCCGACCACCTTAATGTTCGTATACAAAATAATATTTAAAAAAATACAATTGCATATATATTTTACATCGATGTATATAAATTGAATTCAAACATTTCGGTATCAACTATAGAGATTTAAATTGTACTGTAATTCATGTCTTTAGCAATAAAGACTAAGTTACGTTGTCTTTTCGTCATTGTATTTGAATAAACTATTATATTACATAAATATATAAATTGCAGATATCATAGTTTATCTTACACGAATAAGAACTTCACATTGATAGATTCATTTGAACTAATTGATTAACATGTGTAATGAATTAATTTATCGATACTAATCATAAATGACCTTAAAACCATTTTACACCAAAATCCATATATTTTAGGCATCAGGTATTTTTCGATTATTGTTGTTGATAAATATTTCTTAAATATACAATGTTAGGCTTTTACAGAAACATTCTTAGAAATTATACGTTTTAATAAATACAAGTATACTTTTCTTATATAGTTTAAAATTAATTATTTTTGTAAGGCAGTATAACGCCGTTGAACACGCTATTGGTTATTGCCTTTCTTTGGTCGTAAGGCTAGATTGCTATTGAGGAGTCTTCGTATGCTGTATATTTGTCGAATGGATTTAATAAAATCAGAGATTTAATCAATACACTAGATATGTCAAAAATTTTTTGAGTTACATGATACAACAATTTGGAAATATTAAAACATGTACCTCTTTCATTCAATTGAAACATATTTATCATCATTTCACTAAAACAAAATTTACAAGTGACTTGATTATAATCATTAGATTTGTCTAGACAAATTTTAAAATCGAGTAGTTATTTTAGTGTCTACCATAGTTTGATTATATATCTAAGTGATCCCATCAAATCTCTTATTTTGCAATATCACTGCGACATACCAATCAATGAAGACTAGCTTTTATGTTGTTAAAACAATACATCTACGCGACTCCAAAGTAATCGGCTTTACTTTATTTATTTACTAAGGCAAATACAATAAACGTTAACTTAAACATTATTCATCCATCACACATAGATAGAAATAGATTTAGGAACTAGATTCACATCCTTAAGTGTGTAACGCACAGACACAACGAACAGTTACAATGATTATATTAGTTATTACTTTAAAATGATGAAATTTAATTAAAATGAAATAATATTAAACATTAATAAAAAGACATATATAGAAAAATAAATTAAATCCGATAAAAATATTTAACATTACATTTCATTACACATATATGACAATTAAAATACAAAATAACTACAATTCTACCATTTTTATAAACAATACGTCTGCGCAATCGTAAGCAGGCTAATCACGGCAATACTAGCACCAATATGAAATAAGAATTTATTGCGTTACATTAAGGTTTAAAGTAAATAAAACTAAGCAACTGTTGAGACATGGCGCCCACGAATCTAGGGTTGCCATCTGCCCCGCTTTAGCCGGACGTGTTGGCTTTTTAGGTCGTGTCGTGCCAAATAAAGAGTGATTAATGATTGTTGCATTTAACTGGTTAATGTATAGTTAATAAACAACTATAACTTATATTAGATTTTTTTTATTATTATTATATAATTAAAAACAAACATAAATCATTATAAAAAATAATGATTGGTTATTTTATAACCATTTTGGGTAAAGTTCGGCTTTTGGGACAAAAGGTCCGCCTAATGCAGCGCAGTCAGGGTTTATTATTTTAGAAGATGGCAACCCTACATGCACAGTCCAATGACCAGAAAACATATCTCGCGCTATAACACGGGTGCGGTACGTTACGATTGGCTAAAATTTCACGTCACGTCTTTCAAAAATTTATCTTCTGCGCAGGTCAATCGGTGAAATTTTTAAACATGGTTCTACCGTACCATTTGCTATACATAACATGATTTCTTGAACCATATACATAGGTAATATTAAAACATGCCATGCCAGGGATACCTTACTATAAGATATTGTATAAACATTTAATTATACGAAAAAATATAAATATGTAGATAAATGTAGACACGTTGTGGACTAGACAACCTCTTACCATCTACAGTTAAAAAAATAAAATCACCAAATTATAATACAAGCGCCATCTAGTAATAGATCAAAGCGAATAAAGCTGTGACTATACATCTCAATCTACATTATAATTGGTGAACTGACTTATTTTATATTTTAAGATTGTAATGAAGGTTATGATGTACGCTATCGACTACATCGGAGCTGCGATTGTCGTTGACCAGCGACGCAAGATATTCCTCGTTATACTTCAGCCGTTTCACCAGGGGCTCCCACGAACCGTAGTTCAGTTCAGTCAGTTGCACAGCTTTTTTTATTATTTTATGCGTTTCCAAACACCAGTCTCTACAAAATTTTTATTTCACAATCTGTTAGTAAGTACTGACCTTATTTTTGGATAGTTTAATATTTTTTGTATACAGGGTGCTCTATGCATGGAAAAGACAATTTTTCGAAAGATTTGGAGGGTCATAAGGTAGGCTTGAACCATACAATGCACGTGCCAAGTGTCGTCTTTTGAATCATCATCAAAATAAAACAGATATGAAAAACACAACAAAAGTTATTTTGTATGTACCAGAAAATCCTTTATACTCGTAACACAGGTGTAGAAGATTTTTCTTCTTTTTATTATTATAGATATACTTGAAATATATTTTTCTAAAATATATATCTATTTTAGAAAAATATATTTCAAGGACTCACGAGACAACGAGTATGAAATTAATGTTTTTTTATAATTTATTTAAATAATATTGTAAACAAAATAAGTACTACACCAGTAATGTTATTGCTATTTTTAAAAATATATATTAGTCTTAAACGTAAAAATCGTATGGTATCTCAGCGATTCTAAATTTTAGAGCAGCGTTTTTGAAAGTGTGCTCCGCATGAATTCCGCCTTTAGACTTCATTTTTAAACTAGCAGAGCTTTAGCAATGTTCACTTTTTTCCGTTTTTACTAAATTCTTAAAAGTAATTCGTAACTGCTTAAAACTTTTATGCGTATTTTTTGTATTTATACTGTGTCAAATAAATAGGTCATATAATGTTCATTACTAGAAAATGCATACCTATACTCAGAGTTATGTGGCGAAGTCACTATTCTCTCTAGCATCACATCAGAAAGTTTTCTCAACTCGTGGGCAACCTATAAAAAATTGAGTTATTATTGTAAAATAGCTTTAACATTATTTTTAATTCCCTAACTTATTTTAATATATCATATAATGCAGTTTACATAGCTTAAACAATTACAGACAAATATGTAATTTTTAGGGCTATGTAATAATGTAATGGATGACGTGAAATTTGTGATTAAACAGGCCTTATCACAAATTTCACGTCAGTTTGACCTCATTATACTGTAAACAATAGTCTCTTTTGGACAATGTCTTAATGATTAGCTCACCTCAGCGCTGAATGAACCAAACTGATACTCGAGACTTTGTATATTTTGTTTTATAAGCTCGACACTCTTGCTGAAATCACCTGTTGAAAATAATACATTCACCATCAGTTAGGGGTTCATTTACATAAAATATATTTTTGTCGGTACAAGCACCCTTAATGATTGATTCAAAACACTTTTTGAAATTTGACTATTATTTATTACCAAAAAAAAAGGACACATACCAAGATTTTTAGTGGGAACATATTCTTTAAAATCCTGGTAACTCACCATGATCAGCATACAGCTTGGCTAATTTGTCAGCAGATTCCCTCAACGAGGTATGATGTCTATGCCAAACGTGTTGCTGTAATCTTAAAGCGGCGTGAGCTTTTTCACATCGTTCGGCGGGCGTGGATGCTCTATGGGCTTCCACTAACAATTCCTTGGCCCTCTCTAGTGATTCCATGGCGCGTTCTATGCGGAAATCTGCACCGCACTGTGCGCACCTGGTGTTACCGCTAGCGTTAGCGTTGCATATCACCGGCCCTTTGCACGATTGGCATGCGTACGCGCTGAACAAGTACTGTTATGACAGATTTATTAAAATTATTAGAACTAGTAATAGGGGTGGTGACTTTTTATTTTTATTTTATAGTTATACTTGAAATATATCTAAATATATATGTACAAAAAGTATCAGTCATTTAATAAGTTAAAATCTAAAAAATAAGTTTAAATGTTAAAATTTCCCGAGAAACTTCTTCAACTTCTGACATGGTATCGCTATGATGTCATCATCATCATCAGCCCTTTTACGGCCCCACTGCAGGGGCTCAGGCCTTCCTTATGGATAGTTTAGGAGAATGGGCCATGACCCTACACGCTGGCCCAATGACGATTGGAGGGTATTTACGACTGTAAATGCAGCCGGGAGCAACAGCTTAGTAGTCCGAGATAATAATTTCTTGGTCACCCATCCCGTAACCGACCCTTGCGAAAGTTGCTGAGCAACAACGATCGCGGACCGCGGCTCTCTACGCCACCGAGCTACTTTAGGTAATGATGTCACCGCTTCTTTTAAAATAATGTCGTTCTATGCATGCATAAGGTTCTGAGTTCTGATATGAAATATAAGAGGGGCGTGATATAACGCGTTGCTTGCGTTCACATGACAACGAGTATAAAATATTTGATTTTCATAATTAATTTAAGCAATATTAAAAGTATGATTACCGGTAATAATAAATTAAACTCTGCCAGAAACAAATATATGTATTTATTTCCGTTTACTGTCATTTACCGTTTACCCGTATTAACATGACACCTGAAGAAAATTTCAAATAGTTCCTATAATTTTGTTTAAATCATATCTGGGAAGATTATCTATGCATCAGAGGTAGTGTCACCTTCATCTTAAATTATAGAAAAAACATTTCTTTGGAGTCGTAGGTATAAGCAGTTAGAAAATTGACGGAAATTCGTTTTCGGAGAAATAGAATAGGTCTTCAGTGATAGCGCATTCGGTCTGCGGAAATTAAACAACTTTCACAACCGCAATTCGTAGGATGGGTGACCGAAAATTACCTATCTTAAATCCCAACCTGCTTCAAAAGACACGTTAAGTCATCGGTCTCGGCTACATCAGACGTTAACACCCCACCGATCGAATATAAGTAAAACCAACAATATTTTTTTTTACTGAGGGATGTCCTTTGGTCTTGACCTTATTTGATATCCTAGGGATCCGTGTACCAAAAAAGTTTTGCAAACAGTGTGTTAAACAAGGGCGGATTGACTAGCAAGATGGGCAAGACAACCCTAATATAGTTCAGAAGTCACTTTATCATGGTCTACGGAGGTCCATTCCACATGCGACTATATTTGCACTATTTTAGGTAGGAGTTTATTTCATATTCAGACTCGCATTGAGCCTATTTTCGAGCAAAAAGTCTAAGAGATGGTGACAAAAATGTGCAAGAGCTTTCCAAAGTTTGATATTTCAGTGCTAGAATGGAACCAGTTGGCGGGCGACGCGATGTAAAGCACGAAAAATTGTAACACATATGAATGGTGCTTTTTAATGGTTAAATATTAGCGAAAAGCTCTTCAAATCTCAGAAGTCGATAACAGAATATGACAAATTAAGTTGAAAGTTAATTTGTTACAAAATTTTTAACAGTAAGTTATTTAGAAAAGACTTCCATTTAATGGCACAAACATATCGGTAGATATTTGTTTCTCGCAGCCGCCACCAGGTGTTCCAGCGTATGACCTAAGTACTGGGTACCGAGTGATGTTATACCCTTAGAACCAGCGTTCGTAATTATCATGATAATTATCCGTGGTTACTGGCAATAATTTTTAAAATGCAGATAGGCATTCAAAATTGTATAAACTTTTATTTTTATTGTTTTTAAGTATATAAACGAAATAAATAAAAAAGATAACTGTGAAATCACATTGAACAAAAAGTAATATATATGTATATATATTACGTTGGGTTTTTCTGACAGAAAATTGCCTACAAAAACTAAGAAAAGAAAGACAATTTTCTCTGTCAGAAAAACCCAATGTTGTTTTAAGATTTTTCCCGTTTAATAACAAGTCCTAAAGTACAAAAAGAGTTTGTGTAGGGTTTTACAATTATCAAGATGTTGATTAAGCTTTCACACATTTTCGTCACGAGCTCTCCGTCTAAAATGACCACAATCTTTTCAAGGTCCGTATAAGGCCCTGGTTAGTTGTATATGACTTACAACAAAGTCCCGCCGATCGGCGTCAGTACAAGCGGCGCACGCGCAGTTGAACATGTACTGAGCCCTAAGCGCGGTCCGCCGGTGGCAGGCCGGCTCGCGCGCGCGGTGCGGACCGTAACAATTCAACACCTCACCGCCCGCGCATATTTCACGACCGCACACCACCACTAACCGCCCCTTGTAGAAACTATGACAATGGACACTGAGAATAGTTATTTAAGATACGAGTGCGGAAAGTAAGATTTTACGAATAAGGGCCAAATTGAAAACACGAGCGTAGCGAGGGTTTTCATTGGCATGAATTCGGAAAACCTTTTACGCTCAAGCTTCTTACAACATTTTTCAATGCTTTTTGCGAGGAAATAAAACAAATATATAGGTTAATAAAACTAAGTATGTATTAAAGGTAAAAATTATTTGTTAAAATTAAACGTGATATTTGAACATGTTTTCGTGTCATACATTTTTATTTGAAATATTCGTTCTAGGCTCCTTGAAATACTTTTGCCTCTAAAGTTTGACTCGGCCAAAAAATATTAAAAAAATACTTTTAAGCACGTGTGCAGTAAAGGATTTCAGTACATTTTTATTAAATACGTGTTTAAAGACTCACTTTCGGTGTTTACAATGGATTAAAAAAAAAGCGCTTTATGAGCAACTGCATTGAAAATAATATTAATACACCCGCCCCCTTATGATAACACTGGCAACTTCTGACGACAATCGCAATTGTTCACAGAGCTCTGTGTGCAAGCCGTCATCGCGCGGTTTTGGTATTCTATAACTCTCTGACTCTCATTTCATTTATTCTTTAGACTACGTTTTTAAAAAAAATGTCTTTTCCATTCGTTCTCTCATTAATACAAATTAAAAGTTTTAATTTATTATAACAATATTTTAGGGATTATTCATAAATATTTAAATAATTTATCTCTTGGATTTCGTGCTATATGTACTTTCTATTTTTAAATGACGTCACGCGGGTGTTATTTAGACAAGTTATACGCGCCATATTTTATAGCAACAGCTAACCAGCCAACGAGAAATGGATAACTCACGTGTTAATGATGTTTGGGTCGCAAGAATGGTTCATCATGGCAGCTGAAGGATAGATGGCGGTTGCACGACGCACCTCACGTTCCGAGATAGTGACAGACTGACCTGAGTACAGAAAACGAGCAGTAAAGTATGACTTTTTAACATACCGAGTAGCATTTTGTCAAGCTACACAATAGGGGTGTGTAAAACTTTTTTATATTTTCACATATTAAAAAAAAAACATATTATTCATATATTAAGTTAAAATCTAAAATTTAATTTTCAGAATTTGATGTCACGCTCCTCTAAAATAATGCCTCCTCTAAAGTATGCATAAGGTTTAATTTTCTAAGTTCTGGCATGAGTAAGAGGGGCGTCAGATCAAGCGCTATTTGCGGTCATGTGACAACGAGTATAAAATATTTGTTTAATCATAATTAATTTAAGAAATATTATAAATATAATAAGCATAAAAGTGTGACTATCGGTAACAGTCGGTAACAATATATAATAAACACTATCAAAAATAATAATAATAAGTATTTATTTTCGTTTAAATTCTTATACAAGATCAGAAATAAAACGGAGGTTTACTCATATTTTTCGAGCGTTAACGTCAGATATTTCGTAACAGAACTTTTTCCGAGCTATTTTCAATCCCAACATGTTAATGTTTGGATTCAAAATCATCGAGACAGAATGGCCCAATTTTTTAATAATATGTTTAGTATTTGATGCAAACAAACAATCAAATCAATTCACATCTCTCATGTATCGTCTTTAAATTTTAATTTCGACAATATAACAACACCAGTGCGTCAGTGTATAATTTATAAAACTTTTAAACATTTGCTTTTGGAATAAGTGTTGCCATAAACTTTCATAAACCCGTCGAATGATTGTAGATAGCATTACATTTGACATTTTTCAATAGCTTATAAGATATTTGCGAGTAACGCTTACCTTAAATAATTTAAATTAACATTAAATAAACGGTATCGTTCATTTTAATATCACAAAAAAACATCATGATCGCAAGCGCTACCACATGACTTGTCAAATAGTTAAAGGGATAGTTATTAAAATAAGCCAATCCCTTGACTGCTTACCATCATCAGTCCTCTCCTCATCTTCGAAAGTGGCAAGTGTCAAGGCGGCATGGCCGTTACATACTAGTTGTCCCATTGCCCTTAGAAGGAGACCGGCAGCGAATATGCGCAAGTGTGAAGAGGACAGAGAGTATGGTATACGCGACGAGAGATGTTCGAAGAAGGACGTCCAATGTTCCAGATAAAGGGTTAGCATAGTAGCCGTCTGTTGAGTAATTGAAAATTATATTGCAAGAAATAATATGGACAAATGAAAAAAAAAAACTGTATAACAGTAGATACTAACATCGATAAATGAAAAAGAAAAAAGTTGATTACCGAACTTTTGCACATATAGTATTGAAGGAGATTTTTATGGTTTTTAATGTGTGCGTTATTATTACTAGTATAATATTATATAACATATAGGTGTTATTTTCTCAATTCAAAATTTTCCTATTACCCATTGAAATCTGATACAAAACATACATCAAAAATTTAATCAGCACAAGCAACGTTTAATGTATAATTTTGTCTTAAATTATTTATCAGTGTTAATCAAAACTAAAAATAATTAACAATGTGATTGTTACATTTATCAAATACTAATAAACATAATAAGTTTAAAAAAACATATATTATTATAGTACTCACTAGAGCATATTGTATATAATCGCTATTGTTCATCTTGTTGAAGTTGGTGATGAGATTGAACATCCTGTAGAAAGGTGGTGTTTCTTTTTTGTATATGGCAATGTTATCGATATTTGCATAAGCTGTAAAGAGTTCGCTCGCTGTTGTTGGCTCGGTGTTGCCAGGCACCCGAGGAAATCCTTCGCTGGCTGTTATTAGCAAAACCCTGAACGGAATTTTAAATTATTAGAAGATAATTTTTCTGTATGCTTTGTGAGGTACTAAAACTAATAAACAGTGGTCGGAATTAGGTAGAGTTATTCATGTACTTACACTGATTTCATACAGCGAAATAATAAAGTGGATATGCCTCAAATCCCGAGATTAATTTTAAAGAGCAGAATAAATCCCGTGATTTTTTAAATAATAAGTTATCTACTTTTACACAATTTAAACTACTGCACGCACGACGTTGCCAAACTTACATCAATGACATCGGATGTCCAAAGTTGCAAAATACCAATACGCGCGATGTTGCCACATTTGTAGTTCGCACAACATAGCTTGTGAGAACAAAAGAATACAATAGCGCAAATGCGGAGCACTCCCCACTTAACGTAATGTACTAGATTGCGTCTCTTTCTACCGCATTCAAACTATCTAAATCCCGGGAAGGTCCACATTAATATCAACATTTCGATGCAAGTACATAAATAACTCTACCTAATTCCGACCTCTGCTAATAAAGCATACATTATTTTGTAATTTTGTAGGGTCACACCCACCATTACTCATAATTGAAATTAGTTTTTGTTTCTATTTTTATAATACATATCTTAGCATCTTTTTATTTGGAGGCCTGGCAGATTCGTTATTTGTAAATAATGTTTTGAATTTATAATTTGAGCTGTCAAACTCAAGATAATTGTGAATCTACTTTAAAAATGAATACATTAAAATCAAAGCTTTTTTTATTGTTTGACTCGTAAATATGGCAATAAATCAAAAATGTAACTCTGAATGTGCATATTTTAACCTAATGATGAAAGAATATTTTCTTTCATCATTAGGTTATAAACGCTCTAAAGAAACGCATTTATCGATAATTTATGTATGATGCTAGGTAGGACCTTACTGCCTCTGATGCACGGATAATTTTCCCGGATATGATTTTAAGAAAATTATAAGGATTCGAAATTTTACAAAGTTTCATCGGTTGACAAATATAATGGGCGTGCAGATGTCATGTTAATTGTAACTACGAATTATACTAAACTATCCAAAGAATGTAGATACCTTAGAGCGAGATGTGCGATACCAATTGTAGGAAATATATTTGCTTGTGCGGCCTCGCACTCCCATTGGTGGAAGAGTTGCGCGCCGCGTAATCTACACTCCGCCCCACAATACACGCTGCGAGAACACGATGAGCACCTATACACATTACACTCAAGTCTTTATTATGTAGTAACTATACAGTAGAAGCTTAATCACGGCTTCCTTATTCGCGTCTTCACTATTTAAGGGTGAAACAATTGTAGCACAATTTCTGTACTTGCGGCTAAAATCTGTTTAGTCGCGGATGCAATCAGTAACAATTTTATATCAGCTTGTTAATTTTGCTTCGTTGTAGTATTCAAAAAATACTTAAAAAAGAAAACGATATAATGAACGGTACAGCTACTTACTTATAAATCTGAATTGAATGATCTTTAAAAATTACAAATAAAAATAATAAAGTAAAAAAGTCAAAAACCTTATTTAAAGTTTTATTTGAATTGGTAGTTCTTTAAAAAATTTGAAGATATCTCCTGTAATTCTGTACTCCTGTTTTCTATATTCACTCTGCGAATAAGGAACTTCAACTTTATATTTCGCAGCTAAGTGGTTAAGACAGCCCTTTGATTGCGCCGTTGAATTGTACGTAAAAGTAAATCTTAATATTATCGGTAAACATCATAACATTTGAATCGTTCCATAAGACGACTAATTTTACAAACGTCGTATTGTAACGACCGAGCACATTACTATAGGCAGGTTTACTCTTCGGACGGTTTATTCAATGCTGGCCGTTAATATTTAAATAATTATACGTACTTTTTCGTATTCGAATTCGCGTGTTCGTGTTTTGCTGGTTGTCAATCTCCCCTTTCTGATCGAGACCAGCACGCATAGCATGACGAGCTCGAGTTCGTCATGCTACGCGTGCTGCACGGGTAGCATGACAAACTCGAGAAACGCTTTGTCTACATTCATTTGTCAGTTTCTCGGGTTGAGAGTGAGATATCGTATGAGCGCACCCGAGAAAAGTGACATTTGGGTGTAGACAAAACGTTCTCGTGTTCGTCATGCTACGCGTGCAGCTTAGAGTGAGTATCATAGTTTTTGGTTGTAAGTGTGCTAATGTAATACTTATTGAAAATAAATCAAGACTGAGGAGTTCTACCAGTTTTTTTCATTGCGCCACCCACCGTATCGTTAATTAATGAAATATAAGTTGCTAGTATTAAATAAAAGGTGATAATTGTTGTTTTTTTTTCCTTGGATTTTCTATAATATCTAATTACAATGATTTTCAACTAGTGATCCTCAGGAGTCAAAATATGGTCTACGAACGAATTTCACCGTTGAGTTGGAGCAAATCAGCAACGAAGTGAAACAAAATGTTAGACCTACCTACAGTCATCAATTCTATGCATGCTGTTGTGTTTCCAAACATTAAATATCCTCTCCAGTACTTACGGCACTGGATTTATTTCAGATTGGCAGCAAGTTTCGCAGGAATGCCTCTTTAGATCGTCTCTGGGCAGCGTGACCCACGCATATGGTTCTTCCGAAAACAATACATCACCGCGTCGCGTTGCCTCACGGGCTATGACATACCGGCCGCATGATTCGCTATGCCTAGCAAAAATACAAAAATTCATAAATTTGATTAGGACCGAAAATTTCTATAAAGACACTACCTTAGTAATAGGATATTGGACTGTAATAAGATTATAGTGTGATTGTTATTCAATACAGTCTTTAATGTAGAGATAATAGGGTAAGGATGCCGAATATGAGATAGTCGCCAAATATGAGATAGTTAGGTTTTGGCGAAACTAATCGCCGCAGCCATTTGGTGCTACTGTCGCTAGAAGCCACGTGGCAAAAGATCAAAACGTGTGTTAGTGCTTCCCAGTCCAAGGCGAAGTTAGGTTGTGTACACGTGGGTTTTCACGAAACCCCAAAACCAAATTTTTCTCATCAAATATTTACAAGGTATACTACAACTGTATTAATTACACTGAATGATTTTAATTTACCGTCATTCTATCAATTATATCATGAATTTTATGATATATATGCAGTTTTATTACATTTTTTTTACTGAGAAATAATGTGCAGCCATTTTTTTGAATGTAGATGTTTTCCTAATATGAGACATGCGTTTGCTCCTAAAATGAGATATCTCGTATTAGGATATATAAAAATATGACTATTTGAAAAATCCTTTTTACTAGATGGGGCCGATCAAAAGGAAATCCTGAGACCATGAATCGTGGAGAAGTAACCACAGATCGATTTTTGTGTTTGTGTTTAAATATCTAAGATTTAGAATAAAAGTTTTGACTTTTGTTGATTACTTATATTGTTTAATAAGTATGATTTGAAAATCTCTGTGATTATGATGAGTCTGACATAAATCATATCTAAGATTTAGCATAATACTTTTGTTTTGATACTGTTTAATAAGTGCCATTTGAAAATCACTGATTATGCTAAGTTTAATATAAATTATAACTATGTACGTTACATACATATATTAAGTCGTACTCAGACCTATTTATTTAGGAGTATGATGTTGTTAATTAGAGAATATAGCAAATAAAAAGTTTAATTCAAATTAATTTATTTCCTTTTTCTCCAAATCTATACTCAAACCCTAAAGAACCTAATATGAGATACTGTCTCATATTAGCAACCCTCAGTATCTCATAATAGGAGACCATTTGCCTGAGACGTAATTTCTGAACTTCTTAATATTTTTTGATATAATAAAAAATGTATTATACTCAGAACTAAATGGTCTCTCATAAATAAACTTCATTAAATACCCTATCAAATATTGCAATTTTTATAATGATTAGTGCAATAATTTATGTTTTATAGCCAAAAATAAAAATGGTATCTCATATTCGGCATCCTTACCCTATAGTCTCAGGTCTGTGTTCTGATAACTTTGTTGTTTTAGATTTTCACAATGAAAGGGCTTCAGCTACTTAATTTCTGATTTAAATGATTTATAATATTATTCTACTTTGCAAGGTTCGTTGATTTATGGTAAAAAATCTTATTGACGTATTTGTAATTCAACAAACTATTAGCATAAGTGATAAGTGTCAACTAGTAACTATCTTCTTTAAATACATATTTACACATGCAGCTTGGTTGATCGTATTGACAAAAGTGCTGCATTTGTTTTCAATAACATATACATTTTTAATTCTAAGACTTTTTACCTAAGTTCAAGAGCATTTGATGCTGCATAAAAGTTAGGGTTTTCTCCTTTGTAGCATGTAAGCAGTGTTACATCATCATCTGGTTCTACAGTTTCTAAGGCTTCAAGTTTCTTTTCCAAAATCTTAATATGGCGATCAAATTCAGCTAGAATAAAAATTCAAACATATACTTTGTACAATGGTTTGATTATGAAAAAATATGTTATTGCAATCACATATTTAAAAACCCCGTTGATAATGACTTTATTAAAATCATAATGTCAATACATTAAAACCTAAAGTCATATACTTCGAATTAGAATGTGAATGCTAGGCAAAACAAATATACTAAGTTAAACTATGTAATGTAAAATATATGTCACATGGATTTTTCTTACAACTTGGCTGAATAGGCAATTTGGAGTTTTGTAATTTAAAAAAATATAAACTCCAATGTCAGTTTTGATCATTGTCTTTTCTGGTCACTTCATGACCATTTTATATAGTGAAAAGATGTAAAATCTTTTCTTCATTTTTAAGTCGAGTTACATCTACAGTGTTTTAGAAAAAATACCCAATATTTTATGATGTAAGCAGTGTTCTTAATATAATTACAATATGGGTGCCCATTGTAAACAAATATTGGATAACATGTGATTAAAAAATTACATACCTGCATGTGCAGGTGCTAATTGTAAACTTAAAGCATGTTCAGATGCAGCAGCAAGGGTAGAATGTGCTTCTTCTCTCCAGCCCAATTCAATAAGGCAATCAGCTCGCCGAAGTAATAATTTGTGACTCTGTTCTCGTGGATAACCACTCTCTAACGCTAACTTGATGTCTGATAAACATTCCTAGGTGAGTAATTTATATATTAGTTTTTCTTGCAAATTAATTTAATAATTCATTAATTACCTATCTTTCTGATTTTTAACAAGCTTGCTGTATACCAAGAAAAATTCTGATCAAAATCAGTAAACTTTTCACTGTTTTGTTTAGGACATATATAAAGTAATATTTCTTCTATCACAAATATAAAAATAAACATAAATGTATTTTCTTCCACTGATATACCATTACTGAAAAAGCTAAAGACCACTTTTCAATACATATACAATGCCATTTATGTATAAAGAAAGACATTTACCTTAAATCTCTTTGCCCTTAGTAAAGCAGCAGAGCGATTAGCCAATGCAAGTGGGTACATGGGTCCATCCTGGCGTGCATACAAAACACTTTCACAATAACATCTATAGCTTTCTTCAACGCGGTTTGCGCGGAATTTATCATTACCACGTTGACGCCAAAGAAGAGACACCTCATCACATTTTGTAGCAGTATCAGTTTCACTAATTTTTTTTGCATAAGTGTTATGCATTTGCTGTAGCCAGTGCATGAGAATTTTTCTATAAATTAATAAACAGAAAACACACTGTTATCTAATAACTTAAAATTCAAATTGACTCTGACCAAATATTTAATATAAATGGGAACTTCTTTGGCTTTGTATTTATGATCTGATCAACTGGGAATATAGTGTAATTATGTGCATTAATTGGTTAAACTTATAAGTTAAGCGTATAATAAAAAGTGCAGAAATTTAATTTTCTGTTCAATGCATACCTGACACCTTCGTTTCTCCAAAAGTAACTCATAGTATCTATTTCACTTTCATCAGTCCTGTCTATCTTTTTCTCTTCAGCTGATAACAGTAATAATATGATTTCCCATTGTTGAGCACAGTCTTCGGGCATATTTAGACTATTCATTTAGAAAATCTGCAACTATATACGTACTTTTAGAAGAAAGAAATGTACTTCTCAGACTGTGAGATAAAAATTATAAAAATGTTTTATAATAACTTTATTTATATTAAATGAGACCCATTTATTGTATTTTTTTGTTAAAACTTAGGCATTTGTAAATAAATAATATTTGTATTTTCACTACAGTATCACATCATAACGTAGTACTTATTAATTCTATGCATCATAATAGTAGGAATAGGCGAAGAAACTTAGCCATACTGCCAAAAATCGTCATGCAGTTTTGTGTTGTGAGCAAAGAGTAAACTGTATATCAGGTTGTCAGTTGTGAGCCCTATGTATCCTATTAATTAATATTATAAATGTGAAAGTTTCTTTGTTTGGATGTTTGTACGTCAATCACGTCGAAACTACTGAACGGATTTTGATGGAATTTGGTATACAGATAGGGAGTTAGCTGACTTAGATAATAGGATACTTTTTATCCCACTAAACATTTCCCTAGGGTCCACGCGGGCGAAGCCGCTGAAGAAAGCTAGTTTAGTAATAAAGGAAGGGATAAAATATACGACTAAATAGAAGTAGTAACTCGATGATTTTCTTCTTGAAACCAAGAACTTTTAGCATCAATTCTTTAAAACCTTGTAATTAGTATAGATGTTCCAGAATATTATGGTATAAAACAAAAGAAACATCTCAATTTTCATATTGCAATAAAAATCGACGGTGTCAAGTCATTGTGAGAATTTGTTGAGAATATTTGTGATAATATTAATATATACCTATTATAAAATGCCCAAACAGTCACTGAAATCAAAGCAAGCAATGTCGTTTTTATTGTATATATATCAAAAGTTGTGAGGAGAAGCTAAAGAGTAGTAAAACTTGAATTTTAAAATTATAAAATTATGACATACGGTTTCGAGTAAAAGTATTACGTCCTTAGTATGTTATTTTTTATATATCAATTTTTCAGAAAGGCAAACGGAATTGCCCATTCAGCATCTATTTTGTCAATGAGGAAGTATTTAAAAAATAAACGAAAGCACTAAAAAAGCACCTTCACTAGATGGCGACTCTAGCAAAAGTTGAATTTTGCAGGAAACGAATGGACCAAGGACAGTCATTTCCGTTCCTTTTAACTAACATATTAAAAAACAAATTTGAAAAGTTCGAAACTTAGATGTCAATACAAGTACGAAAAAGTACAAATAGAATATACTTGTTTATTGAGTTTTGAAAACTAATTTACTTTTAAACTTGAAAGAAAACCGGAAAGGTTGTCATAGAGAAATCAAGAACTTATCGTAGCGACATCTAGTTTGATTTCAATGTTTTTTTAAACTAATGTTTTTTTTTAAATACTCCCTCATTGTATGTAAATTATATATTTTCTCTTTTTAACCACCGACGCAAAAAAGGGGTGTTCATCTTCCAAGGGGGTGTTATAAGTTTGACCGCGGTGATTCTTAACTATGTTTTATGAAAATCAGATTACCATTTTATGAGCTTTACTGAGACTAGCTTACTTGAATTTGCAGCACCATAGCTTGTAATTGAATGAACCATTTTGATTAAAGTTTTTTAAATAGATTTTTTTAAATACATTTTTTGCAAAAAAACATAGAATCGACTACAAACTTATAAAAAGTGAAAAATAATACTTATTAATCTCAAAAGCGACTTATTCAAGATAATGCTATCATAGTCAGGCGAAGGTTTTCTGTAGGTTATTATATAATTTTTAGGCGTCCGACTTTAATAGCATTTTCTTGAATAAGTCGCTTTTGAGATAAATATTATTTTTTTACTTTTTTTAAGATTAAAGTCGGTTCTATTTTTTTTAGTTTTATTTCGTGCTTAATTTATATTGATATTTTTATATAATAGCTAATATTTTTCTGTAAACCTTTTCAAAAGCGTGTTAAAGAACGAACCTCTATTTTTTTAGTCTGTTCTGTTTTGTTTCGTTCTGTTTCTATCTCCTAAGTCTGACAAATACTATGCTGAGAATTGAAATGGATCCACTCCGGAAGCACCAGCTTTCGGAAGCATCAATAGGATCGGCTCACCCCTTACAAGTCATGAAACCTCCTCCTTTTTTTAAAGGTTATAAAAGGATAGATTATGGGCGCTTGTGCACTACACTGAATTTTCATGTCCGGCGGTCCGATTTTTTCAGATCCGATATGTCAGGCCATATGTAGGTAATGCGCGCTTGTGCACTGTCAGGAATTTTACCGTCCGGAATTTTACTTTTCTCTATTCCGGACCGGTTTTTTCAGGTCCGTGATGGCGGCAATGAAAAACGTGTTTACGCTTGTGCACTGCTGTGTCCGAGATCCGGAAAATTCATAAGGAATAGGCTTGGGAAAAAATAATCGATTTGAATCGATATTTATTTCGGCAATAGGCTTGGGAAAAAATAATCGATATTTATTTCGGCAATATTGTTAATTTCCAATAAACTTATAATCGATATTTATTGTTAATTATAAAATGCTATATTTTATATGATGATTTAATATAGTTGGTATATATCACTGCATATGCTTTGGAAAACTCGGTATAGTTCTAATTTGATCAGCATATGGTTCTAGTATCGATACTTAGCTAGATTTTAGAATCATATTAAAAGTTTCGATAGCTTAAGTAAGATAAATAAGTGTTGTTACGTTTAGACAACTGAACCCATCTAAATGGAAATTAATATAGTAAATCGACTTAACTTTAAGACCTTTCTTAAAGTTAAGTCTATTTGCTATATTAATTTAGGCTACATTTTATTGCGAAAAAGGGGATGAAAGTTTGCCTGGAAATTTGTCATTATCAAATTTTTATATACATGAAAAAAATCTTAATGTAGACATAGGCTACATTTTATTGCGAAAAATAGGGGATGAAAGTTTGCCTGGAAATTTGTCATTATCAAATTTTTTTTAAACAATTGATAAGTATAGATAAATATTTGACAACAGAAGTAATAATAAAGAATAAACAGAAGATTAACAAAAGTAATTAAGTGACACTCAATGTCTTTTTCGCATTTAATAAAATTTTAAATGTATTTTTGTGCCATTAATAATTAAAAAAAAAGTATTCTAAGGGAATAATATTTCTGCTCAAAGAAACCTATATATAATGCCTATATATAATACAGTCAACTGATCTCGTAAAGTTCATTTAGCATAATAATTCTCCGCTAACACGGCATCAATTTTGATTTGTTTACGAAATGGCGCCACTGATTGGTCTATCTCTGTAATCGCTGAAAGTTGTTTTTACAAAACTTCGAAAAAAAATAGCACATTTAAAAATTTAAACATCAAGTACTAGAGTACAGTAATTTTATTCTAATGTCAGATATTTTTAGCTATTGTATGTGAATAATGCTGTTCCTAAATTAGTAAGGGTATAAGTTTTTACATCTGATAGTAGTCATCCGATAGTAGTAAAAAAAATGCTTTCGTCTTGCCATAATTTATTATGGTTTATGTAAAACGATCAGATCATTATTTAGGTATCTTTCTACGTCTTCGAACGGAATTACCAACGTTCCAAAAATCTCATCGTACCTAGCATAAGTGACGTGTAGCTTCAAAGAGAGCTGCCCTACACTGCGCCGCTCCGATCAGGAAAAAAACGGACAAGTGCACAAGCTACTCATCCGAGTTTTTCATGTCATTCCGGACCGGAAAAAATCGGACCGCCGGACCTGAAAATTCAGTGTAGTGCACAAGCGCCCTATGTCAGTACTAATTCGATGCCGAAAAACGTCCCCATGTCACGATACTCGCCAATTATTATTAATAGAAACCATGGTCTTAATACTAGGTATACAACAGGATATTTGTCTACGTATCTTTGTCCCATAAATGAATATAGATTAATTTCCCTAGCCATTTTTTTTCTTTGGATTTTATTTTATTCATTAATATCAATTTTAATTAATCAATTTCAAAAAATTATATTATTGTTTTATACTATAGATAGTCTGTTTCTTGAATACATATTATACAAATATACAATGTGTAATGATTTATATATATTATTTTTTATGAAATATATATGTTTACCATGTTACTAATATCAGGATGATGTGTATGTGGTCATAGCTAAGTATTATTACAGTTTTCCGAAAAATGAAGAAATGCGACAAACATGTCTCGGCAGATGGGAGCAGGCAGATACGTGGCGCATAAAAATCAGTTATATGCAGTCTTCAGTAAAAATATTTCAAGAAACAAACTAAATTAAATTTATTTCGTTGCAAAAATTTGACGGTAAAATTGGATTGAGAAAATTCATAAAACAATTTTATAATCATGTGTAAAAGAAATGTTTATTAAGATATTTTTACTACATTGAGTTGTTATCAACGACAATTATATATTTATTATAAATGAATAATCGTTTCGAAATTTAAATCACACCAAATTATACCAAGCAAACTAGGAATTTGATATACTCCATTCATTATAGCATTAGACAGAAGTTAAATAAGGTTCTTTTTATGGTATACTTTGTGACAAAATATCAATAATCATGTTACTCTTAAGACTAACGGCTAATTTGCTACATATCCACTTAAATAACAGCTGCGATACTCAGCTGTTGTCATTTAAGCTATCTATTAAACAAATTTATGAGTATTTGACTAACTTGAATGATTTAATAACCATTATAATAAAGTGTGCTTCTTAAAGAACGTAAAGAAGCAGGGTTGGATAGTTTCGGCACGATTCTCATGTTACTATAACTCTACCAAATTCAAAATGTTGCCTAATCCCTTCAAACGTTTCGGCAGTACAGTTTTGTAATTTCGTCAGACCATGATGTATTCATAATTGTTAAAATACGTAATCTGGGATTGTCATCCATTGTGAATGCTACTGCCTTTCTTGGTGTTTTGTCGTTTCCGTGATTAAGTTGTTAGCGTTTTATTTTTTTTGTTGTAGTTTTGTTTTTGTTGTTAAGTTTTGTTAAATATGGACGATGTCGGTGCAGGACCGAGTGCCTACAACAATAACGCTCTAAGCCCCCATACCTGCCCTCAACCTTTGACATTTCAGGAAGTTTTTCCAATGTCTTCGTCAATAGTCTAAAATAACTAATGTCTGAATAAATGTTATAAAAGTATTAATAACAATTTCATTTTTAGTTTTTTAGTTTTAGTTCCATGTTGGCTTGAGAGTAAAAGATGAATTAAGAAAATGCTGGCCTCATCTTAACCCCGAGGTATCGTAAAAAATGTATAATTGCCCAGCTCTTTTAGACTACCTAACGTTCAAAGTTTCAACATAACAATAATATACATTTTTTAAATTTATCTTGAAAATAAAATGTTGTGCGCTGCTGCTTCTATGACCCTCTTTTTTCTAATGTTATAATGAATGGAGTATAAAATATTTAAACAAAATGTTCTGTTATTCTAGGTTCTTTTGAGATATTGTGTATTATTTTTAGGTACGAGATCATCCTAAATCATCCTAAGTTCTTTACTCATGGCTCAATGTCGAATCGAGTGTCGAATCAAATTGCATCCTACCTATGCTTATTGGAGATCCGTAATATAAACAATCTTTTTCTAAATTCAATATATCTTTATTAATCTTTAATCGTAAAGACACGTATTAACGGTTTAATACTATAAATTTTGAATGAACGAAGGAGTGATAGACTTTAGGTATATAGTTAAAAATAAATGTGAGTTATATTTTACCATTATTTTATTATAAATTCCGAAAATTAATAAATGAAAAAATATCTTCTTATCTTATAATATAGTTATCAGTGCAATCTTATAACCTCTTGTAAAAAATATGTAAATACATAGAAAATTATACGCATAACATGCTTACGAATATATTCATTACTTTTATAATAAATTGCAGTGGAAAAATCTCTTTCTATGGGTAGTAACCTACATAAATTAAATTCCTAAAGACAACATCATGTAAATAAAAATTCCAAGTTTAGCTAAATGCTTCAATTAAAACGTGAAGAAGAATCGGGTAACTGGACATAAAAAACATTTTTCGATTCTTCCGTTGGTAGGAATAATTTTTTAATGCAATGTTATTCAAATTTATTTTTTACAAAATAGTAGGTACTCATATTACATCAATGCTATGGGATGAAACGAAACTATGTTTTTATATAAAAATCTCGACATTGAAAAATTTCAAATAATTGTTCCGTAGGTTTAATTGTTTCTATTAATTCTACCTGTTTAATTGTTTCTATGAATTTTAACAATACAAATTTAGTTTTAAAGAACATACTTTAACTAATTCTGGGACTAGCGAATATTTAAATATTTGTGAATTATAAGCAATAAACCAATATAAGTAGAATTGCAGGGGCAAAATAATAAAAACATATTATTATTTTAAATTGTATAACAAAACTAACTCTATTATAACTTCATGTTTTTCTTTTTATTCGTTAATTTACTTAATATGGCAAACTGTTTATATTCTTTATACAACATAACAATAGAAAAATATAATCTCATACCTACTTAGTATCTACCCTTAGTATTAATTCTAAATACTCACAATAAAACTAAAACTAAATTAAACTACATTTTCGACATAAGTCATGGTTTGAGCAATTATAGGTAGTATGTATTATTATTCTACTATTAATAATTTGTTTATTCTCATCACAAACTTACAATGCATTGGGTACATACATAAACAAGTATTCTTAATATAATATTAATGATAAAAAAGGTGATGTTATATATGGGATAACCAGCAGAACGACCACCTACCTAAAACACTCGCTATAACTCTAGATATAGTAATAATATCCAGATATTCGTGCCTCCGCCAAGACCAGCAAAAAAGTAAAAAGGGTCAACCGTACCACACTTTTCTCAAATCAATTCGGGACATTTTTACTTTTTTGCTCGATATATTATAACGATAACGTTTTATTAAGTTTAATAAAATCATTAAACAGTTCTTACAGCTATGGCTAGAGTTATTGCAAAATACTTTAGGCGGTATCTCTGCAGTTCCCCACCCCTCGGTATATATGACGGTACATATTTGGTTTTATAATTCTTATTTTCTTATCATATAATCCGGTTACCTAACAAAAATTACAACTAATATTGTATCTACTATTTACGCTACAACAATACAGGGTTGTCAAAGATAATATAAGTAAAATTTTATACAAAAATGTTTCCATTATAGCTTTAACATAAAATATGACAGTTTTTTAACAATTCATAATAATAAGAGTTGCACATTTTACGAATGCATGAGTTGACTTAACTAGAAATAGTTAAGACGTCATCTAACCATTGCCAAATGGTGCAACTCATTTACTCATTTATGTTTGATATTGTCAAAGTAAGTTGGTGCAAGCAAAAGCAGATAACGAGCTGTCAGATTTAGCTCAACCCTCCCAATTCACCATTTTTTTTTAATTTATAACTCAACTTTACTCTTTGGTTGTGTTATTGAGTCCTTAACACAGATAAACGTTAACAGCATGTATTATAAATAGTGACTAATATTATAAAAGGAAAAACTTTAAGAATCATGCTAAATTAAAAAAGTTGTACCTTTTATAAATCTGTGTACCCAGATTGTCCAGATTGACATTTGACAAATGGTTTGTTTTATATTGTTGGATCTTGTAAACTGTAAGATTTTTTACATCAACAAAATTAAATCTAATCTAGACATATGTAGGTGCTTATTGAAAAAAGTAATAGTTTAAATAACACTACATATAGCATATTTATTTCTGTGACTACTGCCGTTTTAGCCCTCTTTTAATTTTCACAGTTTACTTATAAAAATACTTTTAATAATGTTATGTTATTTATTTAATATAACCATGTATTTGGGAACAATTTCTATTGGCGAATTGTGTGCCATTGTCGAAATGATCCAACTGTTGTAAAGCTTTGTAAATGATAGATCCTGGGCTTTTAGTGGGTCGCAAATCTAGAGCTGCTACGATGGAGTAATCCGGTACTATGTAACCCTTATTGACACCTTCTTGTAGGATCTGCATCATATTTTGAATTTGTTTAGGCGTCACTTTGGTGTGCACCGCCATTTCTCCACGGTAGTCCCCTGTTGAAGTATGGAATAAATAAATGTCGAGTAGAAAATTACGTGTGATGGATGACTAGGAGTTCATAACAGGTTAAACTTCACAAAAATAACATGGCTATGAAATTTGTAAAGTAGGATAGAACAATTAAAGTTATAGCTGAGCGTGAAGAGAAAAGGGAAAACTATAAGTGGGTATCAACGCTACCTTCAAAAAGATACTCAGATAGTAATAGCGGATGGCGTATTGCTTAATTTATATTGAATAACTCGCAAATCGTTATTATACCTATTGCTCAGTGCTAAATCAATCATAGCCTGGTCAACACTATGTCCAATCAATCTAGCATTAAATATTTTACTCACCCATGAATCCGATTCCTACGGAGCATCTGTTGTAACCGTATGTATGAGCTCCTTCCTGGTTCCAGCCTCGGCCTTCGTATACACGACCGTCGTTTCCGATTAAGAAAGTGTAACTGGAGAAAAATAAGAATAGCGTACAACATATTAATAATCTAAAATTGAAGACTTTTATGAAGCAAATTTATTATAAATAGGAATTAACATGGAAAATTAATATAATCTGTTAAAGTTTCATTGGAATTTATTACAATGTCTCACGTATTCGAAATAGATTGCCAAAAATGATAGTATCACGACCTTTATGAAAATTGATTAGAGCAAACGAGTTGACTGAGCACGTCTTTGGAACACGTTATTCAATCTATTTTTGATTGATTTTTTAATATATCATCATAATGTCTCCACAAAATTACGTTCTTTAGACGGAAGATATAGTTAAGCCGTTTGCTTGCAGTTGCATCCTGACTGTTGTTGTGTTGACTTTAATAGTAAATAGTGTTCACTAACTAAAGTTGTTTCACCTTAGATTTATGGACAGATGACGCAGTTTTAGATCTTCACATTGTATATTTATCGTAGTCTTTGCTTTATAAAAAGTACCGAAATGAATATAATCAATAAAAATTGTAGAGAAAATGCTTTTTTTTTTAGTAAAGAAGTCAGGTACAGACCCTGCAAAGGAGCTATTTCAATGTAACCCATATTATGACTGGTTATAATAGACTCTTTGAAATTAAGGGAATTTGAATAATTATTATAAAATGATCTTACGGAATGTCATATCTCAAGTTGGTCAGGAAGTAACCCTGTAAGTTTCTGAGTTCGGTGGCACACGTGTCGAAGGTGTAACATTCGCTGCCGGCAGTATGCTGAACGACCACTAGTTTCACGGGCTTGAATTCATCTGGCAAAGAGTTCTCCAAGTGTTCTTGAGCCAACCACATATCTCTGCTTATCTTCCATTCATGAGGAGCTATAGATATACAGGCAAATTAGTGAGTCGTATTTTAATTTACTAATATATTAAATTATTGAAAAATTGACGAAAAAAACTATAGCATAAAAACATAAACCTAAGATCTTTATAGCTTAACTCTGTATATTTTTTTCTATTATTTCAATATTTGATTAATGGTGTAATGATATTTCATTCATTACACGAAACAGTAAATGTGCTACCCATACCAGCTTCGCAGGGATTTGTTCAAATAATAAACATATATATAAATTTTATATTTGCCCGCATTATACTAATAAAACGATAAAAAGAACCCACATCTTGCGAGTGTGTTAAGAATTTGTATGGAGAATTTTAGTTCATGGTAGTTACTTGGTAGTTTCCATACTAAAATCTTAACGCGCTCACGAAAGATGGTGAACGTAAACGTTAAAAAAATTTACAATAAATTTCATCAAAAATCCGTTTAGTAGGTTTACGTTAAGAGTGACAAATATAGATAGATCCCAACAAATATTAGTAGGAGGTATAGATAAATCGACGGCAGTTATGCAGCCGGAACCAAAGGTGACTAAAGAGATAATAAATTTAGGTCACCCATCCTATGACCGGCCGTCAACATACCGGCCTACAACAACATTTATTCTAAATGATGAGTGTAAAAACTTTAAATACGTTAACCTCTATGCTTTGAGCACCTCAGATTAGTTGTTATTATGGAACTAAACATCCCCATCTTATTCTCTTTATTCTAAACTGCCTTATACCTCTTTCTCTTCTCGAGTCACCCCCCTTATGCTTCCTTCAAATCGACTTTGTCAATCAAGTGACGGATTTTGTTCATCTTATCAAATTAATACTTAATATTTAGTCGTATTAATCACCACTAACATTGAAAAGAAAAAAACTTTTAATTGTCATGACTTCGTTTTACGTAACCAAGAAACATGGTGTAACAATGCTTTTGAATTAAATAATTAATACTTACCAGTATCGAGCACGGGCTCCTCTTTATTTTTCCCATAAACTGTATAGAAGATTATCAGTGTGATGCAAACAGCCAGCGCAACCATGGCGGCGAGGCAAGACAGACGTTCAGTCTTATTAGTATTCTTCAATAGAGTCCAAATGTATTTCGGCAAAGGTAGATCTGAAAATTCACAGAGTTTAATAAGAAGTGTATTAAAAACAGATCCATCTGTTGAGTAACTCGGTGGTTAGTGGATATCGCCGCGGTCTGCGATAGTTGTTATTAAGCAACTTTCGCAAGGGTCGGTCACGATCACGAGGAGGGTGACCAAAAAATTATTATTTCAAGCTACTCCGTGACCCTCCACGCCAGTGTGGAGCCTAACCTCCTTACCGTCTATAAGGAAGGCCTGAGCCTAGGGGCTATATATCCAATTCCAAAATTTAAAAAAAAAACAAGAACAAGGGAACTGAAAAATAATTTGTTCAATGTATCTCAAAGTCCTATCCTTAAGTTATATATCCAGTGTCAATTTTAACAAATAATAATTCATTAAAATTATGCGAATAGAGGTGCAAACATTATAAAATATTTTTTAATAATTTCTATAATTTTTTTTCTATAAATTGTTAAACCAGTTTGTACCTTGCTTTGTACTGATTTGAAAAAAAAGATTTTTGTTTTTAAGTAATATATTTAATCATAGAAAAAGTTACAGAGAAAAAATTTAATGTATGGATAAATGCTAATTTATTTTTTGAGGAACTATTTAGCATAGCGTGAGAATAATAATAATAATAAAAACTACTAAGTACTACAATTTGCCCTAATTTGAAGGTTTTGCAGTTATTCTGAATATAAATGTTATTTTCTATAATGTCATGAATAATAAGAAATAATTAATCAACTGGATCTAATCTTAGGGCTGGTTGCAACAAATAACATGTTAAAGTTCGAGCTCAGAAAATAATGTGTTGCATAATGATGTCATTTCACCATTACCCTAATGAGGTAATGGTGAGATGACGTCATAACTTTAACTGTTAACTAAAACCACCCAATCTTCGTAGTTAAAATTATTGTTTTACTATGTCGAGAAAGAGTATGGTGCAACGCATTTACGCATTCCATGGTTAATATTAAAGTCAGCTTGACAGTTATTGTCCAATACAACATAAACCTTGAGGGTTGTGTCCTTCAACTGAAAATAAGGATTTCTTTTTAACCATTTAACTTATTAATATGTAACAAAATAAATTTTATAGCATTAATTTGGAAAATATTACGCTTTGAAAACTTGGACAAAGTAGGTATAATATATAACGAAAATTTTCTAAAATGCATACGGCATTAAATTAGTTAAATACAACGTAACAACTTTCCTTACAACAGCTATAAACATAAAAGCACAAACATGTTACAAAAATTGCCCAGACGCCCATAAGTTTTTCGCTACCGTATTTTTTAATTTGCAGGGAGCATTTTCGGCTGAGTAGGTGCAGTTTCACAAAATAACACCGTCTCTCCGAAACTAATAGTCGCAGATATGCTGTTTCTTATACATTATTCCTCATATCTGAGGATAGAATATTTATTTATAAAAAAATACAACAAGTAGTAGTCGTTACACATACAACTAATATAAGTTGTACTTATCAATTAGTTATGGGGTCAGTTAGAAAGTGATTCATTCAGAAGCTATCCGTTTTTGGCGAAAAACAACGTGTTCAAAGTTTTAGTTGTAGACGAGGTAGCTTTTTTTTAAAATATGTATTTTAAGTTGTATGTAATTTAACTCATGAGTATTCGATTTACGAAAAATACTTTTCTGTAAGTTCATTAATTAAACTCGAGCAATATTTTCATATCATAGAACTAAGATTTTTTTATAAAATAATTAATAAATGAAGAAAATCGTGAGGTTTAACTTATTATTTCAATTAACATGAAAATCAGTACCTACTTAGGTACCATCTCTTAAATGAGCCAAGATATATCTGTTTATTCATCAAATTTTATAAAAAAATCAGAAATTACTCTTATTTAGAGTGCTAACTTTATAATAAATTACCTACGTTCTAAACAAATAAATTTACTAGTGATATTAATAAACTAAATCAATCTCATTAAAAATATAAGTATCCCATCCCACATATTTCACTATACCTATCCCTAATAATAAAAAAAAAAACAATTTATAATACTTATTAAGTCTTTATTAGATAAAAATACACTTTTGAATTGTATTAAAAATAAACACAAACATATTTTTGTATATCGTCAAATAAGTTTTTGTTTTCGTTTTTCATTAATATAAATCACTGCAGTTATAATTCGCATGTTCAACTTTTCACATAAAGAACGTTCTGAAGTAAGTTTCATTTGATTGAAATTCTACACTCGTATCTCTCGCGTTAAAGATTTTTTTTTTATTAATCGCGTCATTTTCAACAAACCCAAGAGAATATTATTAAAATTAAATTAATAAAATACAACTAATAACAACATATAAATATAACTTCAAATATACCAAATGTGGACTGATTTGAATCCAATGAATGATCAATTTTTTTAAGGAAATCGATATGCCCAGTAACTTGTAATCTGGCTGTCATTTTGAACAATTTCGTCAGAGATCAATTGCCGCGTAAAATTTAATGTTATTGATGAATCCCGTTTTAATTGCATTGAAAGTTCGATTTAAAAAGATGTACGATTTTTATGGATATATTTTAATCCAATAATTAATTTAAAATACGTGATGATGAAGTTTTGAAATATTGTTTCTTCACTTACTATACCCATATTTTCTATTAGAGTATAGAATATGGTATATAACAACATATTGCATTCTAATTCAAGATAGCCAGATAGTACTGGTACTCTTCTAGTACTAGTACTAGTACTAGAATCATATTATGAGAACATCCACAGATATTTGATTATCGTGAGTCTCCTACGCTTTACCAAACGTAAAATTACTTTTAAAAAATCGAGTATCTAAAATAAATGCGAGTGGCTGGTGTGTCAGCTGGGCCGAGTAGAAAGAAAATTGTCATATGTCATGTAGATCTATACGTAATTATCCGAAACTTTTATTTCGGTTACGGAGTCCCCTAACATCCCTGTTATCAATATTAACAGTTCTTATTTTTACTTCATTCAAATTCTCGTCTATTGGTTAGAAATATTTGCTTAAGTTATGACATTCTCAAGTAATTACTATAGCTACGTATGTATGACGTGACAGCGCTGCATTCTAGGCGAGTTCGAGGCTGTTTTGTAATAGAATAGATAGTTGTACTACTTACCAGCATATTCACTATCAAATACAAATAACGCTTCGATATCTTTTTTAAAATCACTTATTTTTACCAATATTTTTTTTTCACAACCACCATTTAGTTTAATGGAAACTTGTTAAATGTTTTATTCTATAAATGCATCCATAATACTATTAACATGTCTATAATTATTTAGGTAAGTAGTCTTTAATAATGATAGTAAAATGTTTAAGAAAGAAAAACATTAATAAAGACACACTTATACATACACAATCTCACATATAAAAACCAAAAAAAAAAAAAAAATATTACAAATGCCCTAAATTTAATCTTTTACATTTTCACATTTTTTAGTTTTTCTAGGTGTTTTTCATCAATGACTACTCAAAAATTAAAATAAGATCCTTATTACATAGCTCCAGCACCTTAATATATAAAAACATTAAATTAAAAATCACTGGAATTATATCATTACATTAAAATATATAAAAATAATATTCGTTATTGCATAAATTAATTTCAGATTCACTTATAAGTATATTAATTATCTACTATGTCAAAGTTTGACTAGACAATTTGTTTTAGAACTCGTACAAATTAACATGCCATCTGAGATTTTTTTTTATTTGTCCTCGAACTAAAAGTGGGTTTTTTTTTTTAATTCTTCTTACGTATAATGTTGTTCAAATCATAGTTGTGAAGATTATCTGTGCAACAGGCAATGCTATGTCGAAAAATGCTTTTTTTGGAGTCATATTAGCATTACGAAAAATAGTTTTTGGAGAAATAGAATAGGCCTTCAGGGTGTCACAATCATTCGTACGAGTAGTGACTAATACCTGACATTATATTTGTAGAAATGTATTATTCTTATAGAAAGAGTGCTATATAGAATTTTCAGTAGAGGTAACTACTAAAGTTGCTACGTGATATAATTACTAAAGGTGAATAATTACCAATTGTAACGACGAACTAGATATAAGTTATGTTTGGTAATTCGTAAAAAAGAAAGTAATTATAAATTTCAAAAAATATTATTAAATTAATAATACTTTAGCAGGGAATCTGACTCTACTAGTGGTTTGTCAAGATTTTATTTATTTTGAAAATAGCCGGTCTAAAAATGAATTTATATTTATCATCCATAACTAACATTTGTTAGTTTTGGATGATTTGGATGATTGTTAGCTTATATCTAGGAAATGAAACCCTTAAAAATAAATATATTAAATACCAATACATCGTCAAAAAAATTCATGCATAAAAATATATATGTATAATGAACAATAAGGCCTACCAAGTTCTAGTATAATTACACAAATTAAAAAATCACAACTGATCCTTATAGATTATCAAATTATCTTTATTTAGGATTTCAGTCTTTTCCTTATATTACCTTTAATAAAAGTATTTGTTACCTTAAATAAATCAAACATTCATTACTTATTCAGCACTCTAATTAATTAATGTACTTTAAACGTTTAAAGATTTAGTTTTATAATCTATTTAGTAAGTTATTCTACATATATAAATTTGAAACATCACTATGTAATGGTATACACAGTTACATATTTTCCTTACATTAAGATATTGTTATTATATGTTTATTACTAATTATAATATGTTACAGCTTAAGGTTAAAATAACCCTGCAAAGCCCAAGTTCGTCAGTAAAAATCTAATTATATAAATAATATTTAGCCGCAACATATGTTATACATAAATAATCTTTGTACATTGCCAGATGTCGCAGTATATCACTTTCGCAAAATGTCATCTCGAAAAAGATGCAGAAAGACAATTCCGCAAGAAGTCATTTTCTCAGAAAGTCAAATTAGCAAAAGAATAATTTCGCTCAGTGTCATTAACTAAATTATGTCCTCTATGATCAGATCTA